GAGAGACACTGGTGAAGTGAATTTTGCCCCATTTTACGACCTTTTTTGCCACAGTCGTTATGTGAATCACTGCAGTTGATAAGTAAGTAACCCGGTTGTTAAGTGAATCTGGCTGCCCCCCCCCCTCTTCCCTTTGCTGGTCCGAAGGTTACAAGAGGGGATCACACGACCCCCGGGACACTGCAACGGTCACAAGCATGAAGCGGTTGCTAAGCATTTGGATTTTAATCACATGATCAAGGGGATACTGCAAAGGTTGTAAGTGTGAAAAACAGTCATAAGTCCCTTTTTTTCAGTGCCCTTGTAACTTTGAATGGTCACTAAGTGAACTGTTGTAAGTCGAGGGCTACCTGCATTTGTGACGGTTGCAGTGTCCCAGGGACATGTGATCCCCTTTTGCGACCTTCTGACGAGCAGTCAATGGGGAAGCCAGATTCGCTTAGCAACCGTGTTCCTAACTCAGCAACTTCCATCCTTCCGAGGTGGGTCAAATGAGGACCCAGATTGTTGGGGGCAATATGCTGACTCTGTAAACCGCTTAGAGAGGGCTGAAAGCCCTATGAAGCGGTATATAAGTCTAACTGCTATTGCTATTGCTATTCTTTGGTTCACAATGGCATTTAAAATCACCGGCTATTGTCTCTGCATGCAGGCAGAGTGTCCCAGTGGCCAATCAGAAACACAGACATGGTCACATGTCATGGAACTAAGGGCAGTCTCTGCCTACATTTCCCAGGAGGTAGTTTCTTAAAGGAGACAGCTCTTAATTCCTACACTATCTATATACTGCTGGGGCAGCACAGCCAATAAGTCCACAAAACAATGGGAAGTTGCTGCAACAACACGTAAGTCCACCAAACAAACTTAACTCCACCAGACCAAACTGAAATACACCCAGGAGAGCTCACGTGGCAAGAGAGGTTCAGAGTCACCAAGGCGCAAAGTCAAGCAGGAAGCACAAGCACACACCCAGAAACCGAACACGTTGTCCCCAGCAACATCTCCCTCTCCCTGCCGATGCAGCTCGTCCCGATGCAGCTCGTCAAGATGGCAAGGGCCTTCTCCCAAGTAAATTGAAAGATCTCCATTGCTCTGGTCTTTTCTCTGCCCTGCGTGCTCTCGGATCCATCACGGAATGCAGCTCCTCCTCCAATGACCAATAAAGGAGGATATTTATAGCTCAGAGTTGAAATGAGGATTCCTTAGTTCCCTCTGAGCTTGGTTGTTTTCTTGCAGACGTCTAAAACATCATCAGTCCAAGCCCCACTCCCTTCAGGACTGATGATGTTACCTAGTTTGACAGTGAAACGTTTGTAAGAAAACAACCAAGCTCAGAGAGCACCACGAACCCCATCTCCGTGCAAGGAGAGTCATCCATTACCTGTCCCATCTCTCTGTTCCTTGTAAACCTGACCATTTCTCTCGTCTGTCTTCTTCTAGGGATGACCAATCAGGAAACCATCCAGCAGATCACTCGAGGCTACCGCCTCCCTCGGCCCAACAATTGTTCCCCTGAGATCTATAACATCTTGCTGGAATGCTGGAAGACCCACCCCGAAGACCGGCCAACTTTTCTCAACTTGAGGGATGCCCTCTTTTCGATTTACAAATGGGCACGTTTCTCCTGAAAGTGGGGGGCTAGGGACACCTCCCGTGCCTTCTGCAACCACCATCATCCCTTCGTGCTCAACAGGCTAGTAGAAGTCCTGCAGACCTTCCAGCTCAGATTCTTTTGAGCCTGCAGGAACATTGGTGCCTTGGAAGGTGGACAATGTGAGCTCTTCAGCCTCATCGGTTGGAGCAGAGAATGGAGTTATGGGTTCTAGCTGTCCACAAGTAGCTCGCGGTAAGAGATACGGTACAGCCGAGAGCTCACCATGGAGAGAAACAAAGACGCAGCCTTTCCTTCCCCTTGCAAGTTATGGACTCTTCTTGCTGTAGGCACCCGACGGCTTTCTTTAGTCAATAAACGTGTACAAATGTAGTGATCTCATTTCTTACATTCCGTGCGTTCCCGGTGCATCGATTGAGTTCCCGGTGCATCAACATAAATTTGAATGGGTTGAAGTCGAATGGAAGCCCACCCCATAGAAAAAATATGTCCACGGAGAAAGAAAGACCTAGCTCTGTATATTTGTCTCTATGGATGAGAATGGAAGGGGGACAACTCGCCATGGAGAACTCGCTGTAGGGCTATTTAGCCATTCAATTTAATTGTTCTAAAATCATTTAAAAAACATGTTGAATTTATGTCATTCACATGTCGGTCTGTGCCCTCGTTTTGCATCCTTCCTTTAACGATTTGGCAGGTAGTCCTCGACGTAGGACTCACAATTGAGCCCAGCATTTCTGTGGTTAAGCGAGTTTTGTCTCATTTTACGACCTTTCTGGCCACAGCCGTTAAGCGAATCACTTCAGTAGCCCTGGGATGATGCATCGGTCATAAGTATGAATCAGTTGCCAAGCGTGCGAATTTGGGTCACGTGATTGTGGGGATGCTGGAAAGGTATAACTGTGAAAAACATAAGACACATTTTTCAGTGCCGTTGTAACTGAACGGTAACTAAATGAATTGTCGTAAGTCGAGGACTATCAGTATTGCACTATTTCTTTAATATTAGTGTAATTCTTATACCACAGTGAGTTGTACCACAGCCACCTGGCTGCACCAAATTGTCATAGACCCCCATATGAGGAAGAGAGGGAAGGAGGGAGGGAGGGAGGGAGGGAGGGAGGGGGGGGAGAGAGAGGGGGGGGGGAGAGTGTGTGTGAGTCCTTCTCCCTATGCCTCATCCTCTTCTTTCTCTCCCCCTTCTTTTTCCCCCCTACCTTTTTCCAATACATTTTGGCTAAAAGAAAAGGTAGTCCTTAAGTTACAACCATAATGGAACCTGTCATAATAGTCATCAAATTTCATGATGCATTTTGCAGTGAACATTAAGCGAACCAATGGTTCATCATGGGTGCTGTTTTGTTGAAAACTAGAAGCACGTGCCAGTTTTCAATAAAACTGTCATAAACACGAGTCATGTGAACATGGGGTGCTGCAAATGGTAACCAATCTGGCTGTGTTGCCATGTGCCCAAAGTGCATTTATGTGACCAGTGGGGGAGTGACAGTAGGAACTTTGGACCTGGGTGGTAAGTTCCTTTTTTTCAGATAGGTTGTAACTTTGAACAGTCACTAAGCAACCGGTCGTAAGTTGAGGACAACCTTGAATGAGTTTTGACCCATCAATTTTAGGTTACATTCAACCAATATCCTTCCTCCTGCCTTCCTCCTTCCTTCCTCTGTCTTTTCCTTCCTTCCTTCCTTCCTTCCTTCCTTCCTTCCTTCCTTCCTTCCTTCCTTCCTTCCTTCCTTCTCCCTCTCTTCCCTTTTCTCCTTCCCTCCCTCCCTCTCTCCCTTCCCTTCCCTCTTTCTCCTTCTTCTCTCCCCTCCCCCTCCCCTTACTTTTCTTTCCCCTCTCCTCCTCCTCCTCTCCCCCCTCCCTCTTTTCCTGAATTTTCTACCTACAAAGTAGCCTCTAGTAGCTCAGGAAGCAAAGCAACATGTCTTACCAATTACTTTCCTTACTGCAGTTCCTGTGGAGTCAAGCACTGTTTCTCTAACTTCGAAGGCAGGACTACATCCCTTAATTGTAATAGAACGGAAGTGATTTTTCATTGTATTTTTGTGAGATTTTCGTTCACAGCCCACAGATCTGGAGTTTTGAAGTGGCTTTTCATCCAAGCAATACTCAGATCTGGTCTTGCTTAATTGTTTTCAGATCAACCCATTTTTTTTCATATGTTAATGCTCTTCTAATAATATTTGCTCAAGGTTATTCCAATGCTAACACCTCTTATCCTGCTTCAACGGATTCCTGTGAATATTGATAATATTGAATGTGATTATATAAGGAGATCAAGATAATATTATAATCTCTTGGACCTGTCCTGGGTTTGCATCCATGGAAAAGCAGAAGTCACAGCTTTCTACCGTAAAGTTTTTGCTGTTTCTAGAGGAAAAATAAATATCTAAAATGTTTCCTCTTTGATCAGGTCTCAAGTTTGAGAACGCTTTGCAAATGTATCGGGACTACATTTCCCAAAATTCCCTAGCCAAAAATAAGCTGCTCGGATTCCTGGGAGTTGCAGTTCAGATACATCTGGAAGATACCAAGTGGGAAAAGCTGGGGGGAGATATCAAGTGATATATTATTAGAGATCGCCTGAATCTTAAAAATAAACAAACACGACGACAACAAAAGATCCTTTGTTTCTGTATGGAATCATATTCTCCGGATTGGTTGAAAGTCGCCAAATGTTACCGGCGTAACTGCGTGAGCAAAACTGACTCCCCCCGCCGCCGCCGGTCGCGCTCATGTTACTAACGACCGCCTGCAGTCGGGGCGGAGCCTACAGAGGACCCGAGAAGCCTAATTTCCCTTCGGCCGCGCCCATGATGCATTGCGCAGCAAGAAGACGCAATTTTGCGGTCCCTTCTGCAATTTGTAAAATTATTATTTTTTTAATTCAAGCTTCTCCTTTGTTCATTTTCGTAACGTTACACATGCTCGCAACGTAACTTATGTGTCTATCGGGAGGGTCACCCTATTGTAGTAGATAGGCACCGCTGCAGGGATCGGTCTCTCGAACGCGGATCAAGCATACTCTGGTTTCTCTTCAGATCGTATAAATCTTTCGCCTTTTACTAAAGATTTCCGTGGAGAGGAACATTTATGAGTTTCGATTAATTTTTTGAGGCCCTGCTTCGGTGGGGCTACCCTTACCTGGTTCTAAAAATAGATTGTGATGTTGCTGAGGAAGTAACACTTTGTCGTTGTGTTACTGATTTTCGAACGAAGGCCTTGTATTTAGTCTTACGGATGTGGAATAGGCGCCCCCTACAGGAGAGCTAGTCTCATAGCTTCCTTAAGCAGCACGCGGCAACGTTTATGTGTTTGGTGTGGCATTTCCTGTGTTACGGTTGCTGCCGTGGGTTTTGTTTCCCTCACCCCAGAAGAACGAAATATTTAAAAAGGCAGAATATTATATTTCCCTAAAGGAGAAATGGGAGAGACAAACTTTTAAAGACAGAAAGCAGCCCCCAGTCTTTAATAGCCCACAGCAGATGCCAGCACTTAAAAGAGCTTATTGAAAGAGGAAGACAACTATCTTGATCCGGGGTGTCCAAACTTGGGAAGACTTGTAGACTTCAACTCCCAGAATTCCCCAGCCAGCCGTGCCAAGGAATTAATAGCCCCCATCTTTGTCAATGGGCCATGGGGGGGAGGGGGGCTGATGTAGTCTACTCTACATAATAAAGGTAGGACTAGCCTTCTACAGAAACTCACCACATGACATCTGGGAACTCAACCAAACTTGGGACTCAAAAGATACACAACCTACAAAGTTAGCTAAGAGAGAGAGAGAGACAGAGAGACAGAAACAGAGAGACAGAGAGAGAGACACACGCACGCACACAGAGCCCCTGGGAGTCTGACAACCAATCAGAATGCATTTCTTACACAGGAACAGGAAACAGAGAGGTGGGGCCGAACAGAGTATAAAAAACCCAGGAACTCTCAGCAAGCTCTTTTTTCTCTCCTTTCTTCTTCAACCAACATCTGGAAGCATCTGATCCCTCCTTTTCTGTTCAGGAACTCAAGCTATGCAGTCCTGTCCACCATTAAACCAGTGTTTTTCAACCACTGTGCCGCGGCACACTAGTGTGCCGTGACATAGTGTAAGGTGTGCCGTGGGAAAAACACTTTATATATAGTCAATATAGGCACAGAGTTAAAAAAATTTAACATTTTCTAATGGTGGTGTGCCTCGTGATTTTTTTCATGAAAAAGGTGTGCCTTTGCACAAAAAAGGTTGAAAAACACTGCATTAAACCATCTTTCCAAGCAGCCTCCATGTTTCCAGTGTCTTTCCCCCCACTTGGAACTGAACCCAGGACATTTCTTCCAACACAACCAAGGATTGTATCAAGGCGGGGCCCAGGATGCCTCCCTGTGCAAGCATCTTCTTAACTCATTGCACTCTTTCCAGGGTTTCACAACCTCACCCACTGGAAGGCCTGTGGACTTCAACTCCCAGAATTCCTCAGCCAGCCTTTCCCAGAATTCTAGGAGTTGAAGTCCACACGTTTTAAAACTTTCTGGGGTTGGGAAGCCCTGATCCAGATAACAGTGAAGAAAAAGGGGCTTTTTGCTGAAATCCACCCCAAAACGCCTTTGGCGGTTTGCAAAGACAGATTGACAGAACGGCACGGAAATGCTGAGCTTTACAAGGCAGCCTGTAGGTTGCAGTGAAACAAGAATCTTCCAATTCGCTGAAATGGACAGACTCACAAAAGAAATAAAAGACAAAGAAGAACCTGCAGTATGGAATTTATGGTACGAAAGATGCAAAGAATAAGAGAGCAATAAAGGGGGGGGGGAGTAAAGAAATTACAAAATAATCATAAAACCGCAGAATTAACAAGAGGGGGGAGGGAAATGTAAAATATTGTATATAAAATAGAACTGAATAAGAGGTAAAAGAGAAATATATGTACATTGAAGGATATAAGATGTATAGAAATAAGTACATGGAAAGAATAATAAGAATAGAAGAAATATAAGTATAAATAACTATGAGTAGATGAAAAATGTGTATAAATAGACATAGATATAATATAAAGGTATATATGTACGGATAAAAGGAGTATAATGGATGTTTAATGATGTAGACATGTGGCAAAGATGATATTTATGGTTTTTTAAAAATTTAATAAAAAATACTTTTTTAAACAATCTTTCAATCTTATTTCTTGTGATATTCCCCACGGCTAGGAATCTATCTCAACCACCCACCCTCACCCCCAAAACAGGTGACCGACAGGTGTCTTTTCATCAGGGAGTGGCTGGGAAGAATGAGATCACTTTCTCAGTCAGGAACGGGAGGGGTTAATTCCAGAATGAACCTTCACTTAGTTAGATCAACTGATCTTTTTTTATGCAAGCCAAGGAGAGGAGTTCTCACGCTTTAATCTTATTTACAAATTCCACTGAAGCAAATGGGAGGCAACTTGCTTTCTTGAGTCTCTTTGGAAGGAGAAAGAGGATGGCCAAACGCAAATTACTTTACCAATGTGAAGCACAGAATTATGGCCTTAGAGGACACTACAAGATCATCTAGACTAGGGCTTTTCCAAGTGTAATCTGGGCTCCGTGGGGGGGGGGGGTCTGCAAAATCAAATGAATATTTTAAAATTTCTCAGTTTTAATTTCTAATACACTATCACTTTTGTATTTTATTTTAATTTTAGTTTAGTTTTTTATTTTTCTGGTTTATACAATACAATACAATGGCAGAGTTGGAAGGGGCCTTGGAGGTCTTCTAGTCCAACCCCCTGCCTAGGCAGG